CTTGGCGTGGGAAGGAGTGCTCTGTGGCTTGGGGATGTCTGCCCCTGGGGATGTGGGGAGATGGGCCCTTGCCCCCCGTCTGCTTGTGGGGGCTGGCCCAGAAGGCGCCTCTCCTCTCCCCAGGGACACGGGCCCCTGGCAGCAGCAGCAGCTCCTGGGGTTCCCTTCTTGTGCCTGTCCGTCCCCCGAAGCTGGCACTGCTCTGGCTGGAAGAGGAGTGTTCATTTCCCTTCTGTACGGAGGCTATGGCAGGGGCAGGGGCTCACCCGGGTCCCAGAGTGAGTCGGTGCCAGAGCTGGGAAGAAACCCCGGGAGTCCTGACACCCAGCCCAGCGTGTGCTGCACAGACCCGCGGCCAGGCCCGCCCTCACCGAGTGGGGCTTTGGCTCTATTCCCCCATGGCAACGAGGGTCCCCGTCCTGCTGCCCTGGCCCACTCTGAGGTTTCTCTCCCCCAGGCCTGAGGTGCTGGATCACAAGACCTTCCACCGGTACACGGTGCGTGCCCGCCGGGGCACGGCGCAGGGACTGCGCGATGCCCAGGGCCAGGCCTCCATGCCCAAATCGGCCGGCGCCTTGCTGCGGCGGTACAACGAGGCGGCTCTGCTCAAGGTGGGGGCTAGCGCACAGGCCCAGTTCAGGATGGGGCCCTCGCTGCTGGGGCAGCCTCTGGGTGGGGGCTGCCTAGGCCAAGAGCAACCCCTCCAAGGCCTTGGCTGCAGCTGGCGCCGGGTGTCCTATGGCTGAGGCGCCTCGGAGTGGGGATGGAGAGGGCACGTGGGGCCTGGCGGGGGGGCTGGTACAGTGCTCCCCACTGGGATGCCACTCTGGTTTTCAGTCCCCCTGCTTAGGGGCTGGGGCATGAGATAGGTTCCCCTGTGCTTGGGATCCCTCTCCCCCACCCCAGGGTGTTCCCGCCCCAGGCTCTCCGGCAGTGTCTGAGAGGGGCATTTAGGGATAACATCCCCCCCCGATCCCAGGCCAGCCTGCCGGGCGCATGTCACAGATCTAGCTAGGCTCCCTTATTGGCGCTGACCCGGCTGCTGTGAGGGATTCAGACGCTGGCATCTGAACAGGCTGGACGCTGCCCTGGCTTGGGGTGTCCGGCGCACAATGGAAATGCAGACCCCTCTCTAGTGCCCCCTCCCGAGAGCTGAGACCTCCCGGGCCCCTGCCCAGCCCCCGGGGACTGCTGCTGGCCCCTCAGACATGCCCCATCGCTTAAACTCCGCCCCTGGCAGACCTCCATGGGCTGGGCGCTCTGGGGTCGCCCCATGCACCCCACACAGGATCCTACCCCACCACTGCTCTTCACTTCACAGCACGAGAAATGCCCAGCTCTAGACCTAACCGATAATCCCTCCTCACATCTTTCTCCCCGCTGCAGCGCGCTCTGTAGGGCCGCGGTCCTGCTGCAGAGCTTGGCTTCACGTCCAGGCCGGCGCCCTCCCCGCCATGGCCAGCTTGCTTTCGCAGTCCTCGGGTGGTCCCACTGCTGCACCAGGCCCCCCGCTGCAAAACCGGCCTGTCCCTGTGCCTCTCCTGCCCCGTCTTCCTGGGTCTCTCTCCAAAGCTTCTCCCCAGGAGTCCTTTTCAACCCTGCTGGGTCACCTCTGCCTCTGGGAAGTGCCGACTCTCCAAAGCAGCTGTGGAGAAAACCTGCGCCTGGCTTCAGCCAAGCCCCTTCGCGTACCCATTAGGCATCAGAGCAGTCGTTAAGGTTAACGAGTCCCCATTGTCCCTAGGCTGGGGGGTGCCGACAGGTAGCACATGGGGGGGATCCTGCACATACACCCTGGTATTCCACGATGCAGCGAGCACCAGACTGATGCCTTGATAATATCAGAACCCCTAAGCTGTACAGCCGTATCCCCGGAGTCCCTGTCCCCACCCCAGCACCCCACAACTGCGCAGGGCTGGCCGTGCTTGGCCATACCCCAGTGCAGGGCAGGTGGGGCCCGGGAGCTAGCGGTGATCCCTCTCCTTCCACCCCCAGGACATCCAGGACCTACTGGCCGGCTGGGCGCAGCATCTGCAGGGAGCCCAGCGCATCTTCCTGCGTGCCCCCCGTGCCAACCGGGCACTGCTCTTCAGCAGCAAGAACGCCCCTCTGCACAAAGACGACCCCCGCGTCTGCAACATCCCCTTCAGCACCCGCAGAGCCACCTTCAGGGAGGTGCTGCGGGTGCACGCGGCCCTGGCCACCCTGCAGGTGTATGGTGAGAACTGGGGCATGGGGACACTGGTGCTGGGGGGCGAGGTGTGAGCGGCCTGTTCCCCTGGCCACCAGGCCAGGCTGGCATTGCTTCTAGACTCTGCCCAGGCCAGGGTGGCAGTGCCAAGCTGCCTACTTCAGAGGAACTCACCTCGGTGGGGGGCAGTGGGTTCCTCCCCCAGGGATGCCCCCTCCCACTCTGTCTGCAGCACCTGCCCTGCCCCATGTGCTATGGGGGGGGGGTGGCTCCCTGCTCTTGACTCTGTCTGGGGATGGTCTCTGCGGGGCCCATGTACCCAAGGCTCCTGTCCCGCAGGGAAGGACACAGCGGTGGCGGATCTCGCTGGCTCCCCCCGGAAGGGCTGGAGGAAAGTGCCGTGTGCGCGGGTGGAAGAGCCCCAGCAGAGTGACGCCAGCAGTGAGTGAGGGGGAAGGGCGCCGGCGGGTGGGGAGGGCACCGGCTGACTCGCCCCCCACCCCCATGGGGGTTTCCTGGATGGGGGAAGGTGCCCAGCACTGGACCCTGTGTGGCAGCAGCTGCCTCTTGTTTGTGCCCCAGCCTTGTGGGTCCCCTTGGGACAGCAGGTTCCAGGCATCTGGGCACCCCGTAAGAGTGCGCTGCTGCAGGGCACAGGCTGGGGG